TCCCTGTTTTGAACTTGAGTATAACAGTTTACATATATCTAATATTTTACACAAGAGCTGTAGTGATCTGGTCCCATATATTGACTGAAGTGATTAAGTATTATTATCCTTGAAACTAGTTTGCTTCTAGGAGCAATTTCTAATCCAACTAACAAGCTATACGCTTAGATATGATCACTTTTTATTTTGAAAATCACACCACACTTTAAAAGAATGTTACAGATAAATTTAGCTACGATGATTAGATGAATAGTTGCTCACTAGTCATTAGACTTTCGGATTTTCTACTAGAAAAACCTACATCTAATTTGATTTTAACAGCTAAAGTGGTATTACATATCTGCATATAAGTTATTTTGACTCAAAACCGATTGTGTGCTAGTATGGAACACTTCTCTGGTGCTAGATTAAATCATTAATTCTTTATTTTGCTTATAATCCATAACTTGATTTTTGTGGGTTTGCATCTTGAATAATAATTTAACGATCTTACTAGAATAAGAATATCTATCATATAGAACCAACACTCACTCACATAATCTATTTTTGCTTTGAATATGTGAGGAAACTTCAAATTAGTATCATGGAGGTAACCGATTGGGAACGGCGTCGGCCTATGTTTCGTGCTGGTTAAGATTACTCAACAAAGCGTGCCTATAATCTTGAAGACGGATTCTCTGTATCGAATTCAAAACCACATCACTGTTCGAAGCGTTACCACTAAGCCATTTAAGCAGCGACTAACCTCGTGTGAGTTTGAGATATTTACATCTGGTCAGTCGTTGAAGATTGGCCGAAGTCATGCTTGTTTTGCCTTTTATTGATGAACGACTTAGCAATTGTAGTAGTCCCTAGAGTTAAATGTAGAGTACTGCATAGAAATGGCGAGTCCGTTTATAGAATAATGTTGATCGACTGTGGTGACTGAAATCTATATCATCCATTAACCTCCATCAGTGGCTTGAAGAAAAGCTAAGGGTAGGCATTCTAAGTATAATACCAGACCATGAAACCACTAGTCGTTAGTCGTAGCCTTTCCTGGAAGAGTCAGAATTTCTCCCTTGAGTCTGCGTGGTAGTAATAATCAATGATTGGAGATAGTCCCAGTAGAGCGGATGTATTCATAAACCTTGATATCAGTCCTATTCCATTTGTTGATTTAATCTGTTTTCCCTTAAATTCATACCCATATTTGTGATTGTACAGAGTTAAGAAGGAAATTGTTGACCCCTCTTTCACTCTACCAGATTTTGGTTAATTTTTTTGTATAACCCATTTCTCGGCCACAATTATCCAGCTAACACAGAACAGTGTAATCAATATTTTCTCAATGCAAATCACAGAAGTATATATATATTAAATGTGGATTTCCGCATACTATAAAGGAACAAATGAATTAATACAAGAGAATACAATCAACAATGAAAAAATATCATAAAATAATAATTAACGATTCATGGGATTTGTGGTTCCTTCCTCAGGTTCTTGTTTACCCCACCCTGTCTCTCCTCAAGGAATAACGAAAATTTGGACAAAATATATGAAAGGGCAAAAATTCAATTTAAGCGACAGGATCATTAACAAAATGACTAAGAATCGGTTGTCTGTCATTATTGATAATAGTAGTGCTTCGACGTAAAACAATGACAAGCAGAATGCCTAAAACTACAGAGCTAACAATGATTAGCATCGAGAATATAATTAATCCAATCAATAAAGAAGATAGATTATCAGTAGGCGGGTTGCCAAGACCAAACGACGCAGTCCTTGGGAAAGCAAAGAATGTACTGGGTTTAAATATTTGCAATTAATAATAAAACTTTGAAATATAGAATGGATGATTTATTCAATAAGTACGCGAGAAAGACAAAGTGAACACTGACTCTTACTGTTTATGTAAACTCTTTAGGGATCTACCGTGTCAGTATATGACAAAACAATAGGCTTGGATATTAAGCACCGGTTGTAAATATGCGAGTTCCGTTCTAGTAACTAACTAGATTATCCTACCTATTCACATCAAACGTTAATCCACGATAGTTTTCGCTCTCCAAATAAAAGATGATTATCCAAAGATACCATTGAGACGATATGGATTTTTCTCAGCGGCTTAGAAGTTCAAGAGATCATAATCTGGAGACGTTCCGATTACTAGACATAAATGTTCTTCGGAATTTGGTCGTTTGTAGGATTGCAAATACACACTGTTGGGGATTTGTAATGTAGGACCAAAGACAAATATTTTATGTCATATGGTGATTTCCTAACTGGTTTCACCTCATATCTAACGTGTAGTAAAACAAAGTAACTGTCTTCTTAATCGGATTAGATCCATATTAGTTAAGTGATCGTATGCTTTATGTCCTTATTCAGACTACGAGACTGGTAAATATAAATGTAACTGTATCTTATTCAATCCCATTCCTATCTTCCTTTTTAGTGGAATTATATATATATATATATATATATATATATATATATATATATATATATATATATATATATATATATATATTCTAGACAGTTCGCAAGATGTGCACTCATCCAAAAATCTTAAATTATTTATCATGATAAATTTGCGTTTTATTACTGATAAAAGCAACTATATAGTGTACTAACGAATTACATCAGAGTAGGAACTTGTTGTGGATGCACAGGAATGTACCAATAATTATCATGTTAAGTCTAATGGCGTCCTTGGACTCTAAATGGATATTCCCTATTGGCCGTTATTTATAATTGTACAGATGTCGTTTTCTATTTTATGGTACGATGTGGTATGTTTGGTTGGTATATAAACAGAGTATGTTTGAAATATGACGATTCATATCTCTGAGGCTGTGACTTGTGTTCTGGACTCAACTGACTGGGCTAGACAGGGAAGCAGGTCCAATCGAGACTCTAGGCCGTCCGTGCGTGTTTACGTGTCATTGAATCGATCGATAAATACGCTGCTCTCTAATTTTCCAGTCAAGGACACAACAATTGGCACGGGGTAAAAATCGATCTAAGTTCAGTCACAACAGAACTTCTAATTGTTTTAAGCAATCATGAATGTGAAGCGAGAGTTGGGTGATTAAAGCGTTCAACTTCTTGCCACTAGGCCTTAGGTTCGAAACGCATTTTGAGTTGAACAACCGGTTGCTATTATTAGCTCTTACACTTAAACCGTAACTTACATCTAAGTACTTGGTGAATAAGTTAGTTGTATTATATTGTACATTATGATGAGTTATAGGATTAGTTATGTCATATGTAATGTGATAAATGATTATTTTCTAATGTAATTTATTAAAGGAAGACTGAAAAAATACAAATATCAGAATGATATTGTTTCAATAACAAACCATTCTGCTTGTTAAAGCAACCTGGAAGGATTAAATATTAAGCATAGAAAGCAGTCAGTTGAGACGAGGTAATCTTATGATACAGTTATCAATTTATTTCTGAAAATTCAACTTGGATGGATATGGATGATCATAAATGATTTTATAGCCTGCATCACAGACCAACCTTAGACCATCACTGAGAACCAGGAGACACTAGACAGTTGCTTCGTTTTAGTATGGAGCTACTCAGCAGTAGCGTCCTCGCCAAAGAAGACCAAACCTGGGACCATCAGGTCTTAGGATATGAGTTTAACATTAAGAACACTGAGTTGGCATCTAATGATTTACATTTCTAACTCCAATCAATTCGCGATACTGCAAAACTTTTCTAGTACCACTGGTGGGTCAATGCTTCACACATGATGTGGCTGAACTCCACTGGTTATGAAGTTTCTTTAGAAATCTCAAAACTAGTCACCACTAAACACGATATGCAAACCATAGAAATTCAGCCATCTCTACGAAACCCTTATATAAGTGATATAAATCATTTGTTACAAATCAAGCAGCAGTTTTCATCACAAAATAGTATTGTATAAACAGTAAACAGATATGAATGACAGGTACAGTACAATGAACAACTAAATATTCATTTGAAATTTAAGTTATTTATTGTTGACTAAATCTAGTCACTGCAACACGAGACATTTCAATGACAATACCGAACAATATGTTAGACTGACAATGTTCTGACTATTAAATGTCCTAACCAGGCTCGAATCAGAACACATTGATTGTTTGATTTTTCGGTGAATCAGCGCTAGTGGACGAGTCGGAAAAATGCTAGGAGATCCTTGTATGAACAGTAATGCCATCATTACGGTATATTGTATTATTCAAATTTATTGCTTACTTTTAATTCATGTTCTAATTCAGAAGGCGGTTGAAGTATAGTGTCCGAAGGACACCGGGCGGCAAGAACTCAATACATTATGGCTCAGAATAATCAACAAACATAATTCCTTTGACACTAGATCAGTCTGTCATACGCAATGTAGTTCCTGACACATGTGCATCGGTCCAAGTTGCCATACCACAAAGTGTGAGAAAATTGTTTCAGGACGTATACGAAAGTAGTAGTGTCAGTAATTGTAAGGAAAACCAGGTATAAAATAAAGAAACAGATATAGGGTTTCGGGACTCAGTTCCTACGGAGTATATTTTGATTAGCAATACGTAACACATGTTCCAACCGCCTCGGTTGACGAAGATCCACTAACTAACCAGTCAATTTGACATCCTTCCCTAATATCCTGTGTATTCCTCACTCTATGGTTCAAAAATACACAAGCAATACTCCAAAGACACGACTAATAAATAGTAACCTATAAATATTCTGTATTAAAAACCGTGTTTCACACCCATAAAGTAGAACGAAGCGAACTAATATATAATTATCTCATCCTTCGGTTTGCCTTATTATTTATTTATTTGAACACATAAATATTGGTACAAGAGGGCACCAATATATATGCGCCACACAAAACAATGAGAATTCGAAGAGAAATAGAAAAAAAAGAGAACAACAACGAAGAGATTGGTGTAAGGTAGTGTGGTAGTAATGAGGGACGAAAGGTACAATCAGAAGAAATCTTTCAGGTAAGGGAGACACAACCACTTTTTATGAAGAAAGTAAAAGAAGGTTACAGCAGGATCGCCACTGGCTTCTATTCTGAGCCATATCTGATAACGTCTCTAGCCACTGTGTAGCACCATCTCTCGGACCCCAACCAGGGAGTCGTGAAGGACCAACACAAGCCAGTCCTTTGCAGCTTTCTTTCATGCCACGACACCATGTCATGCACTGACCACCTCTCCGCTTCTTCCAACCAGTCCCAGAGTCGGCAAATAATGCACGACGTGGAATTCTCTGGGACGACATTCGGAGAACATGTCCAAGCCACCGAAGTCGGTGTTTCAAGATGGTGACACCAATTGAATTATCATCTCTGTGCCCGAACACACGATGCCGAACCTCTGCATTACTGACATGGTGTTGCCACTGAATGTCAGCAATCCTTCGGAGACAGCGATGATCGAACACAGAGAGTCGTCTAACGTCCTCAACTCGGAGAGGCCAGGTTTCACAAGCATAGAGCAAAACTGCTCTCACCGACGCGTTGTAGATCCGACCTTTTACAGCCAGACTAACATCACGAAGGCGCCAAAGGTGGCCCAGATTGGCATAAGCCGCTCTGGCTTTCACTATTCGTGCATTGATCTCATCACTCACACCCCCACCAGCACTTATGCAGCTACCCAGATACACGAACTTCTCAACTACGTCTATCTGCTCACCATCCAGGGTGAGTACAGGATTAGAATCCTGCCAGTCTTGTAGAAGTACTTTGCACTTCGAAGGTGCAAAGCACATACCATACCTACGGACACTGATTGCCAACTGATTAAGTGCGGATTGCATGCCTTGGGCATTATCGCACAGTAAGACAATATCGTCCGCATACTCAAGGTCGAGAAGTCTTTCTCCAGGCAACAGATCCACACCACCATTACTTACATTCATCAGAGCTGTTTCCAGAATGTCATCGATGGCAAAGTTGAAGAGGAATGGTGAGATTGGGCAACCCTGCCTAACCCCACTGCTCGAATGGAACAATGGAGAGAGGTGGTTGTATGCCCTCACTCTGCCTGAGGTGTTTTTATATAGGGCTTTTAGGATGTTAATAAACTTCTCAGGCACACCCTTCTTCAATAGACAATCCCAGAGAACAGTCCTGTCCAACGAATCGAAGGCAGCCCTGATGTCAAGAAACACTACGATTGTTGGCCTTTGAAAGTATGGCGGTGTTCTAACATTTGGCGGAGGGTGAAGATATGATCAATACATCCTCGACCAGAACGAAACCCAGCCTGCTCCTCGCGAGTCAATCTTTCTCGGGTTTTGAACAACCTACGAAGAATGACGGAAGCCAATAGCTTGGACGCAATCGGAAGTAACTTATCCCCCGATAGTTGTTACAGAACGACGTGAACCCTTTTTAAAGATAGGGACAACTATCGACTCATTCCATGACGTTGGTACACTCTCTAGTTCCCAAACCTTTGTAAACAACGTCGTCAATTCCTTAGTCAAAAAGTCACCACCATCTTTAAAAAGAGCCGGAGGTAAGTCATCTGGGCCAGGTGATTTGTAACGCTTCAAGAGTTGGAGTTCCTTGCGGACTTCCTCCTCATTTGGTGGATCAGTCGTCACCGGCCATGGAGGGCAGGACAGTCTGACCGATGTTGCCGGAGCAGCAGGCCAGTTGAACTGCCCTTCGAAAAATTCTGCCCATCGTCCAAGACGTCGATGGATGTTAGTGATTGGCATCCCATCATCCTCGCAGATTGTTTCACTCACACCAGACTTCTTGCTGCCAGTGGCTCGGATGAGCTGGAAGAGCTTCCGGTAGTTACCAGATGCAGCTGCTGCTTCCAGCTCATTAGCACGCATCGACCACCAGGCTTCTCGGTCCTTACGCAAGCTTTGCCCAATTTCCTTACGTAACATCCTTCGTTTATGGTCAAACTCACGGTCACCCGGAGTAGACCGACGGGCTTCAATGAGTTGTAAGGAACCAGAAGAAACCCAGTGCTTAAAGCGGGACGTTTCGCAAACCCACAACTGACTGTTCCCGCCATTTTCATGGCGTCATGCAATTGCAACCAATGCTCATCTATACTTTTCGGTGGAGTGGTAGCTAGCCTAGAGGCTAGCTCGGTTCGATACTTACTTGCAACAGAAGTTGCAACCAGCTTGCTAACATCAATCCGTTGATGGGTTCACTTCGTTGTCCACTGAAAAGTAAGGCAAGATTGGCGCAGACCAAGGCATGGTCAGAGTCCAGATAGGTACTCCAAAAGGAGCGGCAGTCTTGTACACAACCACGCCAGCGGTAGCTGATCGCGATGTGATCAATCTGAGTCCAGGCTTGAGATGCAGAGGGAGGACGCCAGGTGGCACATCGGCGATGACTGTGCCGAAAGTTAGTGCTAGCCAGAAACAGGTTGTGGTCTGTGCAAAGTTGCAGTAGACGGTCCCCGTTATCTGACCTGCGACCAACGAGTCCCCATCGGCCACCTAAACGACTCTCTTCTGTGCCTAGACGCCCGACCTGAGCATTCAAGTCTCCGGCTAGTACTACAATATCTGTCGAACGCACTTTCTGGAGAAGAACTGATAACTGGTGGTAAAACTCATCCTTGATTGCATCCGGGCTGCAATCTGTCGGGGCATAGGCGGAGATGACGAAAAGACATCGTTTCTCACGCCGATTTCTTCTCACTTTGATGGAACTTTCTAATCTAACAGCACATAACCGACTGTTAATGGGGATCCAATCGACTAGTGCTGCCTCAGCTCTAGCGCTTAGTGCGACACCAACGCCAGCAAGACCAGACGAAGATGCCACAGGGTCCCCGGATAAGCGCACGTAAAACAAGCTTTTCGAAGCGACAGATGGAGATCGAATTTGTAGTACTTCGCCAGAGTCTTGAATACGGGTCTCGGATAGACAACAACGTCGATATTAAGACTTTCCAAAGACATAGCCAGCCCTATCTGTTGTCCGACCTGCATAAATGTGCGAACGTTGAAGGCAGCCAGTTTGAATGGTGCACGTGGTTTCAGAAAATCTGCTTCAGTCCTCGTATTCGGTGGTAACATACAATTTTCAACCGGACAGTGACTCGAGAACGTTTAGATACAGTCGGATTTCCACCAAAGACGAGCCGCTGTATAAGTATAAAAGAGGGTGAATAATGTGGAAAATAATAATAATAATAATAATAACAATAATGACAATAATAGTAGTAATAATAATAATAATAGTATTAATAATGACAATAATTGTAATGATAATAATTTGAATCAATTGTTTGTTTTTCAAAGCGAGAAAAGTAATTTCCATAGGCATAAAGAGTTCATCATTTGTGTGTGGGCTGTGATACTGCCCGGGTGCCCAAACCGAAGCAGGTGGTTATCTTAGGGGGCCACTCCCCGAGCCTTTGACCTAAAGGTCTAACCCACAAGGCAGTGGAGCATCGTAAGGAGATGCAGTCCCATGGTAGCCGGTGACCAACGATTGGTTCATACGCCATTCGTTCCCGCAGGATACTGGAGCCCATGTGCACCATTGATTTGGAATCCGGTTAAAGCGCCGGACATTCGCTTTTCGTCCTCTCATTTTCGTAAACAACACCCCCGCCACGAGAAGGCAATGAGTAGGACTTCCCTGGCAGAGGCTGTATACGCGTGGCCGTGTGAGAGTATTTCGAGAGGAAGAGCGGACTCTCCCCACTCTCGGCCGTACCAAGGCATCCGGGGGCAAAGTCTCCCGCGCCGGGAACCGAACCCGGGCCGCCTGGGTGAAAGCCAGGAATCCTAACCACTAGACCACGCGGGTTTGCCTACGGGTATCCTGCCTACGCCACAAGCGATCCAAGTCAGGAAAGGTCAGTCGAACTTCCTGATTCCGTGCCGAACCTTTCCCAGACACCGACTAATCACTGCTGATGAGACCCTAAGTGAAATGGTTGTTGCTTGGTCCAAGGTTGTAGCTGACTGGTTGATGCAATCGACTACTTCAATCCCTGTTATTAATTTAGACGCTAACCCAGCTTCCCTGAAGCAACATTCTGCATTTGGAGGGATAGAATCACGTCTCAAGCATTCAAGACTGTAAACACCGAAAAAATCTTGACTTCATAATAATTCTCCAGTGGGTCATGAATCCCTATTACTGAAGAATGTTAAACTACTATTTAGTATTTCTCAACATTCAATGATGATCTAGGATCAGCCCATGATGCATATGATTCTCACAACGCATCACGCTGATCGCCCCTCAATATATTCTATACATTCATTCTGATTACACCTAATCACACGAAAATATGATGAGATTGTTTAGTAACGGAATATCTAAGGTGTCAGTTCGTGTGTAATGGAATGTATGGTGAACTTTGATTATTATTAAAAATATAAACATGTGTTGTCAATTACTGATATATATAGCAGCACTGTAACAAAGGTTAAAAGCCTGCAGTTATTGATCAGTTTTATAGATAAATATGTGTACTAATACTGTTCAAATGATGTATTATAAAAACTAGGTGTAATGCATTGTATTATCAGAAAACTAAAAAATAGCTCAGGCTTAACAATGTGAAATAGTTTGTAAACAAGATATAGTTAGTCAGTCAGTTGAAATTTTACTAAGTAAACGTCTTCTAGGCATACATCAGTGTAGCGTAACAGTTCCAATATTTGACCATTGTGACCGATCCTGGACCATGTCACCAAGAGTCTCCAACCATTGGTTACGATAGTCACACGGACCACAACTAAGTAGTCTGCATCTACCAACATGACTCAGACTAGAAGTTAGTGACTTCAAGCAATGATACCACGTTTTGGTTTGGCAACGCCTAACTTTCTTCCAACCATGCCCAACACTAGTCAGCATTGCGCGTCGTGGTACTCGGTGTTCAGGCATACGTAACAGGTGACCCAACCATCTCAGTCGATGATGATTCACAACCTCATCAACTGATTTACCATCATTCTATAATACCCTGAGTCTAACCTCACTATTACTTACCCGATGATCCCAGCAGATGCCAGCAATATTTCTAAGACATCTGTGGTCAAATACTTGTAGCTTATGAGTATCTTCAACTTTGAATGGCCATGTTTCGCAGCCGTAAAATAAAACAGAACGAACTGCCATACAGTATACTCGTCCCTTAATTGATAGACGAATATTTCATAATAATTATTATACTTCCTGTTCATTTTAACTAGTCATGACAACTTGAAATAACATACGCTTATTCTAGGCTTTAAATTTGATTATCAATGATAACTGAATATTAAAAGAAAAAGGAAAAAAGAACAACGAGAAAACTCAATAACAACGATAACAAACAAACAGACAATAATCAAAATAAGATCAACTTACCAAACAAGAAATTTCGATTTAGCATAAAATCCATCAGTCGATGTACCAAATGATACATTTAATAAACGAATACCAATAGGTTTCAGGTTAGTATCATTGTTACTATTAGGATTTAATCGATCCGCATAAAATATTGATGGAAATGAATAATTAATTATTTTATTATTCTCTAATAAATCTTGATGTTTACCAATATAAACATTACGACTATTTTGAACTGTTCGCAAATGATTATCAATGAAACAAGCTGGTTTGATTTGAAGAAATGCTGATGGATGAGTTGAATTACTTGAATATTGTTCAGCATTATTATTCATTTTAGATACTGATTCACCTAATAAAATATTGGTCATCTAGTATTTAAGAAAAGATGGATATATATACAAAGAACTATTTAGACGTATGAAAGCAATCTTAAATTTACTGATAACAATAAATTGCTTAATATTCAA